ATAGCTTTAGGAGCTAAGATGAAATTGGGTTTCATAGATGGAAGGTGTAGTAAACCCACAGAAAATGTATCTAAAATCGAGCAGTGGATTCGGGTGGATTGTATGGTGAGATCATGGTTGTTGAATTCCATTGCAAAGGATATTGTTGAAGCCTTCATTTATACCAAATCAGCAAAGGACTTGTGGTATGAGCTGAAGGAGAGGTATGGTGAGTGTAATGGGCCAATGATGTATCAAATACAACGAGAGATCAGCAGCATTTCGTAAGGTGTTTTGACTGTTGAAAAATACTACACTAAACTCAAAAAACTATGGGATGAATTAAATTGTCTGATGCCGATTCCTGCTTGCACCTGTTCAGCATCAAAGGAAATTTCAGATCTAACAATTTTTAATCAGTTGATGCAGTTTCTAATGGGACTTAATGATTCATTTGACCATGTCAGAAATCAAGTGTTAGTTATGGATCCACTTCCATCTGTCAACAAAGCATATTCCATGGTACTGAGAGTTGAAAAACAGAGAGAGGTTCAAAATATTTTTCTTGATTCAACAAATGATAGCACAGCTATGTTAGTTAAGAGCATGGATTACAGGAGAGAAAATATAAGTAGAGGAGGTTTCAATAGGAATATTGTTAGATATGGTGCAGGAAGAGGAAGTTTTAAACGTTTTGGAAATGAGAAAGAACAAAATCACTGCAATCACTGCAACATGAAAGGTCATACAAGAGATAGTTGTTTCAAATTAATTGGATATCCTGATTGGTATAAGATGCCAAAAGAACAGAGACCTAGAAGCTATGGTGATGGACGGTTTTCTGTTAACATGATTGATTCACCTTTAGATTTTGAAGATGATAAGGTTAATCAAAATAGGAAAATGGATCTGGGAGCATCTACAGATATAGCAGATTTGGTGACACAGGAAGTACTAAAAGTGCTGAGAGGTAAGAAGCTGATGGAGGCAGATAATAAGGTGAACTTTGCACACATTACAGAGCATGCAGGTATAAGTTCACATTACTCTCTTTTAGCTGTTTTAGATCGTGTGAAACCTGGAACCTGGATCATTGATACAGGAGCTAGCAATCACATTTGTTCTGACCTGAATCTGATGACACAATTAACCCATGTTTCACAACCTACATTCATCTGCCTACCTGATGGAACAAATAAATCAGTAGAACACATTGGCAATGTTGACCTACATCCAAAATTACATTTAACAGATACTCTATTTGTTCCCAGTTTCAAATTTAATCTTCTATCAGTGCCCAAAATCACCAAATCACAAAAACTGAAACTGATTTTTTACCCTGATTCATGTTTATTGCAGGACCTGCAGAGTGAAAAGGTGTTAGCAATTGGCAAACTTATAGGGAAGTTATACCTATTGGATGAGTCTAGTTTTACTTTCCAAGATAATAGAAATAGAGAAAACCTGATAGCTCCTACTGAAATTCCTAATTGTACTGTGTCCTGTAATCAAATTTTTGATATCAATAAAATGTCTGTTTCTTCATCCACTGATAATCTCCTTGACTGGCATAAAAGACTTGGACATATATCCTATCATGCTATGAAATATTTGGATTTCTTCAAGCATCTTCCGAACAATTCTGATATTCTTAAGGACTGTGAAATCTGTCACAAGGCAAAACAACACAGGAGCTCTTTTCCTATCAGCACTATACATACTAAATCCATCTTTGATCTTATACATGTCGATGTCTGGGGACCATATAAACAAGTCTCACTTACAGCCACGCCATATATGCTCACTATAGTTGATGACTATAGTCGATCTACCTGGATTTTTCTTCTAGTACATAAGACACAAGTTCCCAAAACTTTGGATAATTTTTTCAGAATGACCCAGACACAATTCAATACGAATGTCAAATGTGTTAGGACTGACAATGGAACCGAATTTCTTAGTCATGAGTGCCAAAATATCTTCAAATTATTTGGTATTATTCATCAACGGACCTGTGTTTACACACCCCAACAAAATGGGGTGGTTGAACGAAAGCATAAACACCTACTTCAAATTGCTAGGTCTCTCATGTTTCAAGCACACTTGCCAAAAAAATTCTGGCCATTTTCTCTGTTGATGGCAACATTCATCATAAATAGATTACCTACCCAGCTCTTGCAGTGGAAAACTCCTTTCGAGAAATTATTTGGTCACAAACCTGATTATTCCCTGTTTAAGACCTTTGGCTCTTTGTGTTATATTGCAAACACCAAACCACATAAATCCAAGTTTGAGTCCAGGTCACATAAATGTATTTTCATTGGATATAATCCGGGTCAGAAAGGGTTCAAGGTTTTTGATATTGAAACCAAACAGATACATGTCTCAAGAGATATTGAGTTCTTTGAATCTATTTTCCCTTTCAAGCTTGACAAATCAGACATTTCTCCAACTTCTTTACCTTTATTTCCACTTTCTCATGATATACAGGACCTTGATACTTTTCACACTGATCATGCTCCTGCACCTGTGCCAGCCTTGTCTCCTGCAGATGCTCCCTCTGCATCTTCTCCTCTTCCTGATGTTTCCTCAGAATCCATACCTCTTATTCAGGTCCCTTTCCCAGTAACTCAATCCACTTCTATTCTTCCAGTTGATCCTGTGCCTCCCTCTGAATCTACTTTTCCTTCTCTTCGCCAGAGTGCTAGGATTAAATCACAACCTTCTTGGCTACAAGACTACATCACCAATGTTACCACCAATCAAGTGTTGCCAATTGTTGATGCTGCTTCATACTGCAATCAGGTTCCTCAATCTTCCATTGGCTACACGCCACCTACTTTTCCATTTAATTTTTCCCCACGCCTTGATCCTTCTTATTGTGCATTCCTAGCAAATGTATCAATTGCTCAGGAACCTGTTTCCTACAATCAAGCCAGCAAAAGTGCAGAGTGGACTAAGGCTATGCAGCTTGAGCTTGATGCTCTGGAAACTAATCAAACTTGGGAATTGACCACACTACCGCCTCACAAGAAAGCAATTGGCTCTAAATGGGTTTACAAACTTAAATTTCATGCTGATGGTACAATTGACAGGTACAAGGCGAGGCTTGTCGCAAAGGGTTATCATCAGATGCAGGGTGTTGACTATTTTGATAGTTTTTCTCCAGTTGCTAAGCTTGTTACGGTTCGAATTTTTTTGGCTCTTGTGGCAGGGAAGGGTTGGCCCCTTCATCAACTGGATATAAACAATGCTTTCCTTCATGGTTCGTTGGAAGAGGAAGTTTATATGCAGCCTCCTGAGGGATACTCCAAGGCTTCAGCAGGGCAGGTTTGCAAGCTTAAACGGAGTCTCTATGGTTTGAAACAAGCTTCGCGCCAATGGAATGCTGAGTTATGTCTCAGACTTCAGGATTTTGGTTTCACACAATCCTCCCATGATCATTGCTTATTCACAAAACAGTCATCTCAGACTACTCTATTTCTCCTGGTATATGTTGATGATGTACTTATCACCAGTTCTTGTGAACAGGATATTCTTGACACCAAATCTTTCCTACATCAGGCTTTCACCATCAAGGACCTGGGTTATGCGAAGTATTTCTTGGATTTGGAAATTGCACGGAATGTTAACGGGATGTATGTTAATCAGAGAAAATATATCATTGATCTCTTACAGGAGGCAGGTCTTGTTGGTGCTAAGTCTGTCCCTGTACCAGTCCCCAAAGGGACCAAGTTTGTGGCACAAGATGGTTCTTTGTTATCTGATCCGGAGAAATTTCGTCGCCTTATTGGGCGTCTTCTTTATTTGAACTTTACTCGGCCTGATATCACCTATGGTGTTCAGCAACTTAGCCAATTTGTTCATGCTCCATGTCAAGCTCATTGGGACGCTGCTTTACATCTTCTTAAATACCTCAAAGGGTGTCCATCTAAGGGCCTTTTCTTCCCTGCTCAATCCTCATTCACCCTGGAAGCTTATTGTGATGCCGATTGGGGCTCGTGTCTTGATACTAGAAAATCTCTCACTGGCTACTGCATTTTTATGGGCTCATCTTTGATCTCTTGGAAAACTAAAAAGCAAACAACTGTTTCTCGTTCTTCAGCTGAGGCGGAATATAGAAGCATGGGAAGCACTGTCTGCGAATTGCAATGGATTTCATATATTTTCAGGGATCTTCACATTCCTATTTTGGCCCCGATTCCCTTGAAGTGCGACAACAGGGCAGCTTTACACATTACTGCGAATCCAGTCTTCCATGAACGCACCAAGCATCTTGACATAGATTGTCATGTCGTTCGAAATCTGTTCAAGTCTGGTTTCATCCTCCCACAGTTTGTTCCTTCCGGCCATCAGTTTGCAGACTTATTCACCAAGCCCCTTGCTTCGCCCCAATTCTCTTATCTTCTGTCCAAGTTGGGTTTGGGAGATTTACACCAACTCCAACTTGAGGGGGGGATGAAGGAATAACAGATTTTATCCTCCTACAGCATGTAAATCAAAAGGAAGAAGAAGACCACCTTGTAGAAGAATTCAAGCTTTTATTTCTTAAAGTCGCATTTGCCTATTACGTTTTCTATTTTCTGTTTTTCCGTTTTTGTTATGATGAGCTGTCGGCCAGCTATTGGTCTATTGCCTTCTCTTGTATCTATATATATCACAACAGCATTCCATCTCTGTAGATTTTCGATTATTGAATAAATCTCATTTTCACTCAACATTGTTTTAGTTACTTTTGCTCACCAACCATAATCACTTGCAGCTTAAGAGATTAATTAGTCAAATAATTTACAATGCAAAAGTAGTAGTGATAAAATTAACTTTCCACCACATTGTGTTCAATAAATGTACTTACTTTTAGTTCCATACCAATGTCATCACAAGATGTTCTCCTCAGACTTCAGGAAATGTTTTGTTAATAACACACACGTGGGAACGAGCTAACATGTTGTAACATAAATGATCTACTGAAACAATTAAAACAGACAATTGGACCTTTCCCCCCTTCCATTCTCCTGCATTCACTGGATGAAATGTCTATCTGATAATGGCACAGATGATGAAAGTGAATTACAACCTCTGATCAAATGATCCAACCGGGCAAAGTTTCCCTTGTGATAAGTTATTCGAAGCTTTGCTTCCCTGCATACTAAAGGCAGAGATGAAGGGAACTCAGCCATCAAAAACTTTTCAAACTTCCCTTCTGCACGATCATAAGAATAAACAGTCATTGGAGAGTTGAGTCTGTAATCAGCAAGTAACAATTCTCCCGTAGGGAGGCTTCCAACAGGAAAACGACATCCCTCTTCGCTCAACTCTGTTGGCAACTCAACAATGTGTTTGGTCCATCCTACTTGATCATCATCGAATTCCCATAAGATCAATTTCCCGTCATCAAATAAACATGCTTCAACCTGCGCCAAGGTAAGCCTTCCTCCAAGTCCCATAACATTAAACCGGTTCCATTTGATGGTCTCTGCCATATAATCAGGTATAGGTTCAACCCGAAACTTCTCCTTCATTAGATCAAAAGCAACCACTGCGTAATTAGGGTGACCGTCCCGACCCCAATACAGAACTCCATCTATGCAAATGCTTTGTGTCTTTAAATCAAGAGTTGCAGGAGGGACGATCCTCCATGAAGAGTCAATCCCCAAAGTGAGAATCTCACAAGGATAACCACCACGGAACATTGGTGTGTCTATCCCCAAAGTAAAAATATCACCAACTTTGTCTGAACATACTTTAAGTAACTTGTACAAATCTTTAATTGGATCGTACCCAAAATAATATTTCGCGCGACGAGTATCAAATCGTAGGGATGGAAGCTCCAAATTTTCACGGGTGTAAATATTGCATAAGAAAATGCGGTTATTCGTATTATCATATAAACAAACAAGGCCATTGATGGCCTGGGTAACGTCGTAATCAGTGAGTAATATGCTTGCCTGGTGATGTAGGGTTTTATCAGAGGAAACGCGAATAAAGCGCTGGACCGGTTGCCAGGGTTGGGATGAAGCATCTACGTCGGTAAAAGTAATGAGGAGCCCGTCGGCAAAACCAGAATCAGAAATAGTGGAGTGCCAGAGCTTGGACACGCATTTGAATCGCATCAGGGACTTGACCGGAAGACGCTTGAGCACTTCGATTACTGTGTCATGAGGGATCCGGGGCTCTGAATTTCCGCCATCGTTATCGCCGCAGCGTAAACCTTTTTTCTTACACTTGCTTGATGCTACTGCTTCTAATGATGATGTTGACAATAATTCTTTCCCGTCTGTGAATTGATCCATTGATCTGGATCAAGATTGAGATTTTGATTCAGCTTAATAAATTCTGAAAATTTTGTTCCTTTCTTGGTTGCTCCAGATACGAGTTATCTTGATTCTTGTCCTAAAACTAAAAAGAAAGTCGAACTTTTAAAATAAGCAAGTAAGGTATCAGTCACTGAACTTTTAAAACAATCTCAATTAGCTCATTAAATTTTAATTTATCTAAGTTACATCACTAAATTTCAATTTACTTTCAGTTAGTACTAAAATTCAATTTAGCTCTCATTTGGTTTAGAAACAAAATTCTTATTAAATTTTGGAAAATTTTGATGAAACTTGATTAATTAGCATTTTTAAGTAAACCAAACATTGACTTAATTCTAATAATCATGCTACATACACAAGGCCAAGATTAAAAAATAAGGACACGTGACAGTATTTCATTAGACAATTAGAAAAAAAAAATCCATATAGGTGCTATGTTGGCGACACATGTCAAAAACCCTTGTCACCTAGGTCCTATGCAAGTAGCATTATTGTAATTTTAACTTCCACAGCCTTGAAAAATTGCATAGTTGACAATATAACTACAACAGATCTTCCATATGACATGTCAACTTACTATTACAACACATCATAAAAGTCTATTTTAATCCGAAGGCATTGCCATAATCCCTATTTTACCATTTTCATTTCTTAGGTATCAAGAATTTTCAGAAGATTTTAATTCGAATTTGGACCTCCCGTTGGAAATGTAGGGCGGGCTCCTTCGAACTATAATTTCTAACTAAACATTTGGTAAATTATCATAACTGTAATTCTTTCATACAAAGAAATTTAAATGTCAAAAATGTACATTGCTAATTCTGCAAGATACGATCAATTAGTGCGGCTGCTTTTCAAATTATAACAGTAAATTTTTTTATTAAAATTGTTGACAATCGATCCTAGATGACCTCCAAATAGCAATTGCGTGGAAGATTGTTTAAGGTATAATTGCCAGTTAAGAAATTTTCATCCTTTAGAAGATGATAAGTGATGAAATGTAACACAAAAAAAAAAAAAAAAATTAGGAGACGGTAGGTGACTAAATGCTAAATTTATAAGTAAAAGTGAAGTTCAATGAACATATTTTAAAGTTAAGTACTGAAGGCTCAATAACCGCACAAGAAATTTACCTTCCCCCTCACCTAACACCCTTGATACTAATAATATATGTCATCTCAGCCCCACCACTCAAATCCAAAGGCAAGCAGCTGAGGTTAAAGAAGATACGAAAAATGCAGACAACATTACTCTCTTCGTGTACTTTGTCCCTCTCCAAGGCCTTCATTTCTTCTACCCCTCTCGCCAACAGGAGCTTCTCCACGGCTCGCCCGGGTGAACTCGCTCACTTCCAACTGAGGCGCTGCGAGTTCAACAGGGTTCGTTCGGGTCCCTTGGTTCGAGGTCTGGGCACTGTGGACCCGCGCTGGACCCGATTTCAGTGCGCGGCTAGCTCTGCGCCCTCGTTTGCTTCCGGTGGCGGTGGGTCTGATGGAATTGGTGGAAATGGTGGCGGCGGTGGTGACGGTGATGGTGCGGCTGAAGGTGGTGAGGGGAAGTCGACGGTGGTGGCCGCCGGGGCTGAAGATGATTCTGCTCTGAGTTCTGATGTTATTGTTCTTCATGTTGGAGTAAGCTCTTCTTATTTCTTATTTTTCCAAAGCCACTTCATTTGGCGAAAATGGAAAGAAAATAGCTTTTTTTTCCTTTAGTTTTTGTTGAAGAGACCTCCTCAGAAAATAATGAAATGCCCTCTTATTGTAAAACATATGAAATTTATCTCCCTACTTGTAATGTATAAATTTATGAAAAATAAAATAAAAAATGAGCTACGCCGTCTACAGTTTCCAAATCAAAATATTTGGCTGTCCAATAATATAAATTCACATTGAGAATTACTCAGAAGTCATCCATTATCTTGTTGATCGCGCTATTCTGATTCTGGAAATGATGTGTTTTTAATTGAAATTTGAAAGTGTTATTATTTTTGACTTATGATGAGAAAAATGAAAAACAAACTTCTATTCTTAGCTTTAACACAAAATGATAATTTCTTGAGTATCATGAATTATACATTCAGCAACAGCTGGTAATTCACCGTTTGATTTTCTAAGAAATTTACTTCCTCTAAAATTACAGGGAATGACGTGCGGGGGATGCGCAGCAAAAGTGAAAAGGATTTTAGAAGCTCAAGTAAGTGCATAAATTCATGGTGCATGTATGATTAATTTTGATGCGCGCATGCGCATGTCCTAATGTTTGTTGAATATTTGGGAGAAAAGAAACTTCACTGAGTCGCTTTTTTGGTTTTTATGTAATGTCTTTGGATAATCTATTTCATAATCAGAGATACCCTTTTTGCTAGCTTTTCATGGATTAGAATAGAGTTTATACTTGTTTTTTCTTGCCTATGCACATAGGTCTCTACTGTTTGTGAAGATAAAACTTGGGGCAAGGCAAAATTCCTCTGGACAATGAATTGTGAAAAAATAAGTATGAAGTGGGATCAAGGTGTGATGCAGGATACTAATTAACATGTATTGCAGCCGATAATTTGGATACTAACGAAAGTAAATCTAAATTTTGTAATTAACCCTATTTAGCAAAGGGCATAGCTACATTATTATATTTTTGGAAAAAGATGCTGCGTATTGAATTCTTACCTTTACAATGGGGATTTTGTTGACTATCTTGGATAAAGGAGGCTACCAGAGATGATAATTTTTTAGAAGATTGTTAACATTTCTATTGGATATGTTTACAACATGGCAATGTAGTTTTCACATTTGGTGTTTTAGGTCTTGGAGATTTTGTACTGGAAGCCTTGCAGCCATAATGGTGTATGTAGTGAGTAATTGTGTTAAATTTGTGAACAGCTGCAGGTTTCTTCAGCTAATGTGGATCTTGCAACTGAGACTGCAACTATATGGCCTGTATCTGAGGCCAAGGTTGCACCCAACTGGCGAAAGGATTTAGGAGAGGCTCTTGCAGAGCATCTGACAAGTTGTGGCTTCAAATGTAATCTTCGAGGTCAGCAATTTTCTATTATTATATTTATAATGTTGTTCGTTTCATTTCTTCTTCAATTCTTTGTGCCTTTTGTGAACATGTGATTCCTCAACAGGACGTGTACTTGTCTGTGTTTCATATACTACTTGAACTAGCATATAAGGAGTTTAAAACCTGAACTAACTTGGAAGCTTTTCAGTCATAAAATGTCAGTCAGGCCTCTGCATATATTATCTACAATAAAACATTTCTCTACTGGGACCATATTGGGTTATGGTGAGTTTCAAAGATGTTATATTCTAAAACGTCTCAAAATGTCCCCAAGAGGACTAATGACGAGTTTCAAACCACTTTCAAAGTTAAAAAATAAAAACTGAAGATATTCCCTTAAAACATTTGCTGCTCTAAGTTATAGAGGCCAATAATCTGTTGCAATTTTACTAAAATAATTCAGCACTTCAAAGATTCATTCGAGAGGCACTGGAAAAATTTTCTTATGCTCACATGCTAATTTGGGAATATTCAGAGAATTATGAGCCAACTATGACACTTCCTCAAGGAATATAGCTCATATTAGTTTTGATGCTGTGTGCTTATGTTTAGCCTATGTTTGGCTCATGTTTATAAAAACTCAAGTGGCTTTTTATCTACATATTTCGAGGCCCACAAGTACTATCCACCACCTATTTCTATTTATTTATAATTTAAGCTGTTTATAAACACTTCCAACATGCTTTTAGTTTCTATTGTGAGGGGTATTTTTGAAATTTGAGAATATTCTAGCAGGAAGTCGTAACAGGTTGGCAGGTTGAGTTTAATCATGTTTTTAGGTTGTCCATTTTGACTGGGGATTTGTTTTAGTCATCAAGTCCAAGTCCCTATTTTCTCAGATTGAATTTGTGTTCTAATCAAGTTGGCTTTGGTCTTAGGTTCCTTCATTTTATTTAAAATAATATAATTATCCTTGTGCGGATGCTTTCTCAAGTAGTATTTCCGTGGGAGCCTAAGAAGAGTCCTTAGTGCGTCCATGCACTGTCATCAGTGTGGATTTCAGCCTCTGAATCTAAATTGTTTCTACATTTAGTCCTCGAGCTTGTGCCCAAATTTCCCTCATAATTAATCTCCTATATCCCACCTTTTTCCCTAAGTTTGAGATATTCATGAAATTGAGAAATCCCACCATTGTCACGGGTGGAGCAAGTATGAGTCCAGTGTGGAAGTTTCACCCACTGGGTTTTGAGTACGCTTCTAATTTGATTAAATTGAGAAATGGTGGAAAATAAGTAGTGAAAATTTGTCCATATAATTGAGACTAAAGTCGAGCTCATTCATAACTTGGTAATTTCAAATTTCTACATGTGGGTTGAATTGTAAAATTAATAGTTGTCCTGAGTAATTGTTTTTATTTTTTTTAAAACTCGGCTTACAATATTTTAATGTCATAGAATAGAAAAGAGTGTTATTGGACTATATATCCTGGTTTTTGCTAGAAGAGAAAAATTGGAATTTGTCATAGCTTCTATTATTAGCACATTGAGCTTGTGTATCCTTTACTCTTTCGAGTTAGACGAGACACTGAACAACACTAAAGCACATTTGGGTTTCTATAACTTATGCATAACGTCGTGGATGATTGGCAGATCAGGGAGCCGTTGAAGGGGAAATTCCATCATAGAATAGAACAGAATTTTGTAGCAATAAACCATTCCTCTTCATGGTAATGGTAATGGTAATGGTATATTATTTTTGGACTTGCTCAAATAGTTTCTTGTGACTGATGAAATAGTTTTTTTTCATCAAAAGATGCTTCTCTTTAGCTGCTGCCGTTGGATCTGCGGAAGGCAGGCTTCTCTATTACTAGAAACTCCATGGAATTTGGATATTTTACCTTCATATTAGTCGAGAAAATCCATAAATAAACAGAGAGTAATATTATACGAGTTTACTCTCTCTGTTGTCTTTCCTGTTGTAAGATCTAAAGAAAATTCGAGGTTTTGTATGCGGCCTTTTCCTGCAAAGAAATTGATGTGTGTGTAACATTAAAATTCGTGCTTGTATCTGTCTCTCTCCATTTCTCCCCTCAATTCCGCAATTTGTAGGACTTTCAATTACTATTTACTTTATTTTCATAGTAGGATTCACTGTTTATAATTACTTAAGGTGTATTTGAACCACATTATTTTGGAATAATGTATTTTGTAAGCTTAATTCATCAACCTATAACTAGTCCAATTGTGCTACACATACATTTTTTTTACATTATTTTTTATACTGTCATATGACTATACGATTGGACAATTTTTTTTTTGAAAAAAATACAAATTTTCGTCTAACATTTTTTGAATTCTCACACGATGTACAACAAGATTAAGCCCTCCATTTGTTTATCATTTTTCATTCATAAAAATGAAAAATATGATTATTATCCATCACATCAAACTATCAATTTTGAATTTCTATCTCTTGTGTGGAACTTATTAGAAAGGATATCGAGTTTAACTCAACCTAATAAAATCGACTCGTTAGGGGAGAATTGTCCTCATTTTATTAAGTGGATCATGTTAATATCACCAACCAATGTGGGATTCTAATAAGTCCTCTCACGCACAGCGTGGACCATGCCGAACAATTGTGAACAAATCGATATTAGGTGCACCCAACATTGTAAAACTGGACCTACTCTGATATCATATTAGAAAGGATATTGAATCTAACTTAACCTAACAAAATCGACTTGTTAGAGGAGGATTGCCCTCACTTTATTAAGTGGATCATGTTAATGTCATCAGTTAATGTGAGATTCTAATATGACAAAATAACAATTATATTTTTCATTCTCATTATACAATAATGAGAATGAAATGAGGTCGTAAATCCATGAAATGTACCTTAGGCATAATTCTGACTGGTCAAATTTCATTATTTGAAGTAGTACACGTGGCTGTCACCTGTTGGATAACAGATTGCTGACTGATTACGCGTATGCAGAGTGACAAAGAGCACTGCCTTTATAGCATGTTTACCCCTAACAAGATATTAAATTCCAATTGTATCCTTTTCTTTGTGCCTGAATGGATTAACCATCCAAAATTTTGGGAATGATGTGAGTATTTTAGAAGACAAGTGGACAAAAATGAGTATATATGGGATGCCCATTTGACGCTCTAAAGGGTACGTGTGTATTTATAAAAGGAAAAGATCGAAAATTAAGATATATAGAACGGTGAAGATCTAAATGTTCTATTTTTGAAAGTCGGAAATTTCAAACAAAACAAAAAACAAAAAGATCGAGTTTTTGAGTCAATAAAGACAACTTTTTCCGAACTTGATCTGCCTTTTTAGTTATAATTACGTAAGGGGTATTTGAACCACATTATTTTGGAATAATGTAGTTTGTAAGCTTAATTCATCAACCTATATCTGGTCCAATTGTGCTACACATACATTTTTTTTACATTATTTTTTATACTGTGTCATACGACTATACGATTGGACAATTTTTTTTTTGAAAAAAATACAAATTTTCGTCTAACAGTTTTTGAATTCTCACACGATGTACAACAAGATTAAGCCCTTCATTTGTTTATCATTTTTCATTCATAAAAATGAAAAATATGACTATTATCCATCACATCAAACCATCAATTTTGAATTTCTATCTCTTGTGTGGAACTTATTAGAAAGGATATCGAGTTTAACTCAACCTAATAAAATCGACTCGTTAGGGGAGAATTGTCATCATTTTATTAAGTGGATCATGTTAATATCACCAGCTAATATGAGATTCTAATAAGTCCCCTCACGCACAGCGTGGATCATGTTGAACAATTGTGAACAAATCGATATTAGGTGCACCCAACATTGTAAAACTGGACCTACTCTGATATCATATTAGAAATGATATTGAATCTAACTTAACCTAACAAAATCGGCTTGTTAGGGGAGAATTGCCCTCACTTTATTAAGTGAATCATGTTAATGTCACCAGTTAATGTGAGATTCTAATAGAATCAAATAGCGATTATATTTTTCATTCTCATTCTACAATAATGAGAATGAAATGGGGTCCTAAATCCATGGAATGTACCCTTAGGCATTATTCTAACTGGTCAAATTTCATTATTTGTAGTACACGTGGCTGTCACCTGTTGGATAACAGATTGCTGACTGATTACGCGTATGCAGAGTGACAAAGAGCACTGCCTTTATAGCACGTTTACCCCTAACATGATATTAAATTCCAATTGTATCCTTTTCTTTGTGCCTGAATGGATTAACCATCCACAATTTTGCGCATGATGTGAGTATTTTAGAAGACAAGTGGACAAAAATGAGTATATATGGGATGCCCATTTGACCCTCTAAAGGGTACGTGTGTATTTATAAAATGAAAAGATCGAAAATTAAGATATATAGAACGTTGAAGATCTAAATGTTCTATTTTTAAAAGTCGGAAATTTCAAACAAAAAAAAAAAAAAGAAGATCGAGTTTTTGAGTCAATAAAGACAACTTTTCCGAACTTGATCTGCCTTTTTTTTTTTTATCGAACTTTTTATATACATCATTAATTTCTTGCTAAAATTTGTTTGATGGTAATAATGAGGTTAGGTACCAACTGAAAATGGTTTTTAAGAGTCAAAATCATATTTCATAAAGAGTTTTGCTACACAAACATAATACTTGACATAGGGGATGACACGACACACACATGGGGAGGTCAGTATTATTTAATTCAGGTCAGGACCCACATGCAATGTGAGTGGTCAGTCAACCCCTATGTCAGGTATTATGTTCATTTAGCTTAATTTTTTCATAAAAGACCACCAACCGTTAAAACGTGGAGATAATTGAAAAAAAGTATTTAATTAAAGATCATTCTAAATAGAATAAAATTAATATCAAAGATTAAATACTTCTTCCTCGCGCTATATGCAGAGACTGTATCCACTATCAACATTGATTGAGTAAGACATGAAAATTAGAGCGTGACAAATAAGCCACATATAAATAATAAAAAGAGGATAAATTGCAGTCATCATCCCCAATAGTTTAGAGTAATGCTATATAGCAACACTAAGATTACAACCTCAGCCCATGTAGCACTAGATTATAAGCTAAATGAAGGGTCTCATTTAATTCGACTTATTATTTAATACTACATTGTTGTCACTTAGATTGGAGTTGCTACTCAAATGGGGTTAAATAGCATTATTAATTTATTATTTACCTTTTTACAATTCTGTGCTAAACCTTTTTTATGGACAAATTTAGGGGGTGTATTCAATTGGAACTTTTGAAGACTTTGATTAACTTTTTTTAAGTGATGAATTCTATGGATTCCGTGTATTTTTATATAGATTTGTACAAAATTAGTGAAAGTCTTTTGTAGACTTCTGTGGATTTTCATTTTAAAACTTTTATAGGCTTTTGTAGAATTCAAAAGACTTTTAAAAACTTTCATTTGAAATAGAATTCATGTGGATCTAGTGCAATAGTGTGAAATTATTACATATGAGATGACGACTCTCACAATTTACCTTCTCCTTCTCATTGCCCTCCCTGTATAATAAAAAAAATATTTTAAAAAGAATAAAAATTTAAGACTTTAATTAAATTAATAATATTATTATTGTTATTATTATTATTATACGTATAAAAAATATTTAATATTCAGTATTATTAATATTTCATACCTTTAAAGAATGAGTAATATATATATATATAT